TAAAAACACAAATAGCTGAAAATTAATGGGTAGAAAAAAAGACATATCTTGCAAGTAAAGAATAAGGAAACTGAGCCAAGGATTAAGGACATTTAGTAAATATACAGGAGTCAAATCATTAGGAAGACATGACGATCACAACTATGTGTATGCACTTAATCCAAAATGGATGATGCAAGAAGAGACCAGTAAAAGGGGAAACTATATCATTTCAGTCATAGTAGGAGATTTTTAACATCCCTCTCCTGGCATTTGACAGAAAAAGCAGATGACAAATATCAGTGAAGACATGATAGTAGTGAACGATGCTATCAGTCCCCTCGACCTGACTGATGTGCACAGAGCACCATAACTGACTGCTGCAGAGCAAGCTTTTGTGAAATGTGCATAATGTATCCATCAAGACCTAACATACTCGGTTTTATACTGGGCTATAAAATAAATCTCAACAAATCCAAAAGGATTGCAATAATGCAGACTATGTCCTCTGACCAAGATAGAATTAGATATCAATAGCAATAAATTATCTAGGAAAATCCCAAATCTTAGAAATTAAACAGCATCTAAATAATCCACAGATCAAAGAAGAAATTACAAAGAAAATTACATAATGTATCTAACTGAACGCTACTGAAAATATATCTTAACTGAGGTGATGGTAGTTACACAACCATATGCATCTGTTAAAATTCATATGACTGTACACTTTAAAGGTGAGATTTCCTGTATACTTCAGTAAACATGACTTTTAAAAATTTGTCAAATGCTGCTTAAGCAATCCATAGAAGGGAATTTATAATTTCAAATGATTATACTATTTTAAAAAAGATCCAAAATCATCGATCTAGGTGAAATCAGAAAGAAATTAGAAAAAGAAGAGCAAAGTAGGCTGGACGGGGTGGCTCATGCCTATAATCCTAGCACTTTGAGAGACCAAGGTGGGAGGATTGCTTGAACTCTTGAAGTTTAAGACCATCCTGAGTGGTTCGGCACCTGTGGCTCAAGTGGCTAGGGCGCCAGCCACATACACCTAAGGTGGTAGGTTCAAATCCAGCCTGGGTCCGCCAAAACAGCAATGACGGCTGCAACCAAAAAAATAGCCAGGTATTGTGGTGGGCGCCTGTGGTCCCAGCTACTTGGGAGGC